ACCCTTCGCGAAATAATGGAATGTCAAGCATTCGCAATGGTTAATCTACAAACGAGACATTGTCATTATACTGCCATTTCTCATCATTTGTGTAGCATCAACGAGAGAGACATATCAGGTAGGATATATCCTCCTCGAGACCTTTCGTCGGCCCATGCGAAGATCAACGATACTTTACGTCAACACAGATACTCCTTTACTCCTTATAATTTGTCCGTCCCGTGGCAATATTGGAGAAAAGGAAATCCGTGCGGAATGGGTATACGCGATATTATCGCTCTTTTCTCGCCGCCACGACGAGCGTGAAATGGAATTTTTTATGACGGTCAGCTCCTGCGGGTCGTATTTGTGACGGCCGAAGAATGGACAGATCTTAATTCGGTCAGGGAACACGTCGTAACAGACACGTTACGCGTTACATACCCATGTCGCGACACACACATACACACACACACACACATCTGCGAATTAACAAAGACGAAGAAGAGGCGCGAAGCGCGGTCGATCATCTGCCAACATCTTGGCACTTCTCGGTCGTGAGAGAAGCGCCGCGTCTGCCTCGCGCAATTTGAATTTCGAAGCGTGCGCGCGTATCGGGAACTTCAAGATACCTTAATCGATCATCCTCTCATTCTGCATTACCTTGCCTGTCATGCCGTAAGTTACTCGCTCAGCGACTCGATAATCCTTTGAATTATAATCGCGGAAAATGGTATCTATTGAAATGGGATTAGTGGCCTAGCGAGTGATTGATTAACCACACAATGGCATCAAAGCGACATTACGAGACGTCGGGTAATTATTGTTTCAGAGTTACGCTGACTAACCGTTACCTACGATTGTTACGATTCGGCGACTATAATGAACTGATGAAGCGTACGTTATTGAGCGTATATTACACGTACGAATAACGAATAGTTTTCAATACAGTGCTCAACTGGGAAATGCTTCAAATTTGCAATGTTACCAGTTGCCACCAAGTTGGTTGCAAAATTTGTTTAAGACACAAGTAAAATGTCTTATTCCAATCCATGATGTCTTCATATATACGCCTGACGTTTATAATATAAAATGTCTACACTCTCTCTTTGTAGGCCCGTAGTTAATTTTTACAAGCACGTAATAAAAATACGACAGGGGTAATGATAACGAGTAAACATTAATAAATTACGCGCAAGGAATATGCGCGCGATAAAGACTTTATTGTATAAAAGAATGTATTTTTCCGACGTTTCTCTGGGGTGCTGTTTCAATCATCATGCGCACACACGACGACGTGCGCGCCTCACAGCGCACGTGGTCCGGATTGAGTTTTACGTTTACACAATTTCGCGCGTGTTAAAACCACCGACGAATCAAGAAGCAATTAGTAAAATGGCCGAATATCGGTCATGCCTGTATCTCCTCACGCGATTTGCATAACGCACGGCTAATCATAATCAAAGTAATTAATTTACCCTCCATGCGATCCGCTCTCTCATAGACCGTCACCAGTATGACCAGCGAAACAACGAGATACCGCGAGTTCCGTAGCGGACCGTCTCGTCGGTCCACCGCCGTTATTATTATTAATTCAATTTGCGTCACGGCGCTCGCATTACGCGAATGCGAGTTAGCCAGAAGCGTCTTCGAAGCAACAAGAACTCTTCGTAAAAGCGCGAAATTGCGTATTTTTAACGTAAATTTCAACCACCATGCATCTCAAACGTAAATTAAAGCTGAGATTTTACGCTATCGTCGCGATCTTCGTTTTAACGACCCGTGCTTTCGTTTGTTTTCTCTCGGAATGAGATTCGCGAGTTTGCGTATATCATTATATTTAGATTAATCTCGCTTCTCTTCTTTAATAATCCAATAATCAATAATTTAATATTACGCAGCTTCAAAAATGATTTTTTTTTCTCCTTTTCGGCGCATCAGCGCTTGGCATTAGGAATATTGCTTTTGTGAGAATTCCATGCGTGCGTTTTTGCCGACGTGTTCGCTGTTGCTGTCATTCAGGAATTTGCAAAAAAAAATAAATAAAAGAAAACATTTCATGCGTAAAAATGGAAATATTTAACGCGTTTTGTTTTGAAACGGTAGATAACTAATTTATTTCTCACCGAATACCAGCGCAAAATAGAGACTTAACAAAATCAAACAATTTTTCGCCAACGTATAGTACGCGCTTCCAAAATACTAAATAATCCACTGATTCCAAGAGGAATTCATTTCGCAGTGAATCGAATCAATTTGCGAGACCGAACGTTTTCTGGCCCCGCAGACAAATATAAACAAATGCGCATAACAATTCCTCGCCTTTGGCGACGCAAAATATGAAAAAGTGGATCTCTGTCAAAGCTAAGTTAATTCCTGATGCGTTAAAACTTCACTTACGCGCAACGACGCGCAACTTGCGATCGTTTATCGCTCGTGCCGTAGCAATCTCCATCACGGATCGCCGTGGATTTTGATATATTTTTCTTTCTCTTCCCCCGCCGCGAATTGATTCGCTTCGTTCCGATAGAGGCAGTAACGAACAATGCGCGCGTAATACAGGTGATTGAATCGCGTTTCACTAAAGAATCGCCGGTGAAAACTAGAATGCCATGAAACAAGCTGATAATGGACGTCCGTTGTTAATTACTCGTTTTAACAAGTCCACCTCGCGCCCACCACTGATGTATTCGCGACAAGCGACGGGACGATCCATTACGGCGTGTCCGCTAACCTGGTCGGCGGAAAAAATTCTACGCTTAATGTGCACGAGAATGAGAAGCGCGTTATCGAACGGGCGCGCGCGTAATCTCCACTACTCCAGCTATTGTGTCAGAAAATACTGGCCATTTCTCCGGCGCCGCGGAGCGCGGCGCGGGCGGCGCGCGTATTCCGAAACGGCACGAAGGACGCGATCGATGGACGGCAATTCGCGAAATTACGCCTCGTGAATGAAGATGAATAGTTGACTACCGAGGGATCACCTATCTCGCGTGCCCGCGATAGCCTAAATCCCGTGCACGTGTCGCGGGTGTAACAATAGCGGTGATCCCGCGCCGTTCAAACACCATCTGTTTCCGGCGCGCCGAAATGCAGCGCGAGGAAGAAAACGCTCGCGGTGCATTCTTAATGATTCTCAAACATCCCGGAGACTTTTCTCGAGTCTCGGGCTTTTCTCATTGTGCCTCCGCGGTGCTTTGTCGACGTACTCGTTACCGGAGACAGGCAAGGATTTATCGCCGATTCAAGTGTGTCGAAGCAAAGTAAAATCGCATCGATGATCAATTGCCGTCAAGCCAATCACATTGTTTCGACCGATCGGCCGCAGTTCGCTTCCTTTGTATCAACGACGACAGTTGAATCGACGACTGTCCTCGACGAATTTCTTGGACACCCGAGCAAAAAAAGAGAGATGTGCGCGCTCGCCCGCACTGCGCGATAAACGCGATTAAACTAAAGTTAAACGGGACCGACCTGAATATTCCATTACGTTGCTCTCTCTTTCTCTCTCTCTCTTTCTCTCTCTCTCTCTCTCTCTCTCTCTCTTTCTCTGCACAGCTAATATAATTTCAGCGGCGCGTCATACGCAAAGTCCGTAAACAAACACTAAACTAGACACTCGAGATAAAAACGCGAATCCTAAACTCTCATCGAGCTCATAGGAGATAATCGATTAACTTTGAGCATTTTTATTGCCTAACAGCGCAAAGCGCCGCGGCAGCGGCGTCCAATAAAATTCCTTCCGCCAGAAATATAAGTTGGGGAACGCATTGCATATTCAGCATGTGCAGTCGATTGCATATTCGGCGCTAAAATTTGCGCGGCTTCGCTGATAAATTGTATTAGGTTTTTCGTCTGGGGTGCAAATCGAAGTTCCCGCGTACGTCTACCGTGCTCATCATCGCGCCCCCGTGGAAACGACATGAAATCCCATTAGAAAATCAAGCGAGAAATTTCCATCTGTTCCCGCGAGTAAATATTATTGTTCATTGTCGACAATAATTGTCGTAACGTGTGTGCTTCAATCCACCAATGCGTCGCGGCACCGGCGGCGCTATTATTAAGAGTGCTATTGTAATTATTACGCACTAAATTGTTCCCAAAATTGTTGCTATTATTATCGTGACCTTTTACAACAAGCGTCATTAATCCTTTATGTTGTACGGTCATGCCTACAACACGTGCTCATTATGATTATTAGCACAATATTTTGAACAACATTAATTTGCTCTCATTATTAATTATTAGCCGCTAAATATGCTGTTTCACTTTTAACACGCATGCGTTTATAAATCACCAATATTGAATGCGGATGCAACGGGATTTCATTAAACTAATTAGATAATATTTTATTTTGCACTAAAATTAGTTAAATTTCCTCGGCTGTACAAAGGAGGACGGATCGAGAGATCCATCCGTTTAATTAAATTTATTGGATAAAAAATTTTTTGGAATTTTAATTATTAATCTCATTAATTATCTGTTTGACAACTGGATCTATTTGATAGTTTCGCATACTGCACTAAACAAATCCCTATTCTCTTTCGAAACGTTTGCCTAAAAAATCTCTACGCTTCCTTCGAGAGTAAGATTTAAAGAATTTTCCGACTTAAACTTCTTTTTCTCAGGACGAGCATACATTTTTTGCCTCTGCCTAATCCTCCCGACGAGAAAGTGAATTTTCAGGAGAGCATCTGAACCGCATCGCGGTTTTACCGCGCACTCGTTACTATCTTGGACGGAAACACGAATTTTGTCAAGTGTGTTCCGAGTAACTCGATCAAAGCCCAAACAACCGTCGCGCCGTCGGGAAAGATAACTCCCTCGAGAATTATTCCAAAGTTAAGTTCTGCGCTACAGAGGTAGATACGAGGCTGTTTGTAAAATCTTGCGCATCGACGCCTGTCCGCTGCCCCGCTGTCACTTTACAGGAGAAGCCCAACGATTTACGTATGTACACCCACACACACACACACACACACACAGACATAAGGAAGCTCTGATGGACATCACTTACGGACCTCGGCACTACACTAGCTCGGTCACCGCGTACGAACTCGCTGGACGAGGTAGCGTTCTCGCGTCTGCGGCGCGCGTACTGCAGAAACGCATCCGGATCGCTGCAGAAATGCAGCTCAATCCTCTCCAATCCAAGTGGGATCCCCGGTGAGAGTCTCCCTCGCCGGCACGGTAGATCCGGAAGAGAGGATATTTCCCCTGGCTCGAAGTTACTTCCTGGCGCACTTTTACGCGTCGTTCGCCGCAGTGGCGATGACACACGTACGGTGCAGTCACTTCCGATGCGTGTCTCCGTCGCGGCCGTTCGTGAGAACACCGCGAGCCTCGCGATAAATCACCGTCCGTCGTGTACGCGACGGCGTATCCGGATCACAAACTGCTCCCGAGAACGAGTGCGCACTCGCGCGCACTTTCATTCCGTTATCGTATCGCGATCGGCCACTTTGATCCGCACCATCGGTCGCAAGAACGAACGTTTGCATAGATGCGCTCTCTCACCGGATTTCCGGCGATGGGTCCTGCCGAACAAATCACCGCGTCAATCGTCCCGCGTCAACCTAACCTTCGTCCGTAGCCGCTGCGCGATCCACATTCTAGCGAATCGATCGGAGCACCGTCCAAGCGCGATAGCACATTCCCGAAATGCAGACACGATCGTCGTCGTCGTCGTCGACGTCGTCGTTGTCGTCGTCGTTGTTGTTACTGTCACCGTCGTCGTCGTCGTCCTCGTCGTTGTCGTCGTCGTCGTCACGATCGACGTCGCGCAAACACACGCACTGTTGGACGAATTCGAAATCACGAACTCGGTGTCTCGGCGGCAATTCGGCGGCAGCGTCGACGTGAGAGAGAGAGAGAGAGAGAGAGAGAGAAGAGAGAGAGAAAAGGATAGCCGATAATATTTCGACGATTTCTCTCGGCGGATCACTTGCCGGCGGATCACTAGCCGGACATCGACGTGCGAAGAATCATCGAAGCACGACGACGAGCGAGTGCGCTGCGAAAGAGGAAAGTGAATGCTTGTAAATCCAACGATCGCGAGGCGCGAGCGGCACGTCGTGATGTTGGCAGGCGACTAACCTCCGAGAGCCGTTCTGCACCCCCGGACACCGCGCATGCCCCCTACCTTAAAGAACGCACCCCCGACCTCGCAGCTCCCCGCTCGACGTTGTGTGCAGCTACCCTCCCCGAAACCGCGGTGACTTCATCTTTTTTGACGAGAAAACCACTACCCTCTTTTCTCGCTTCTCCCTTGCACCCTCGTCCTACACTTGTGTCCCATCGCCGCCTATCCTTTTCCACTTGCCTCTTTCTATTTGCATGGCGATCGCCTCTTTCGGCCAATAGATACGCACACAGGATTTCCGGGATCGTGTCGTTTCAATGGCATATTCTGTAACCGAGCTGTAACAGTTGAGTGAGTTGTCAATAAAGTGAAAAAAAAATAGTCGAGTCGTCTCAAAATTTCATTATACGTGAAATTAAATGATCTCAAAAATTGGAGGTTACTTTGTACGATTAAATTCACGATTGTTCTCCAGGAGAGTAAATGCAGGAGACATAAGAACGAGTAGTCTCTTTGATGTATGCTTGAAAGAATGAACCTTCTTATTTAATACAGATTTTGTTCGAGATTTTCAGGAATTGTGAATATTTCTTTTGTTCTAGAGACACTTAACGAATACGGCTCGCGAGCTGTGCTGTGATCTAATATTGAATAACGTTGGCGTCCGCACCGGTTGGCACGTCACGGCACAAATGCACCAGCAAAATACAAAATCATTTTCTACCCAGATAGTAAAAGGTATGAACGAAAGGTAGGAAATTGCGCGAGGTAATTTCTTGAAAATGTCGCGCGAACGTCCCCGGGAAAATGCTTTCGTGCACCGGCTTCGAAAAAGTGTGCCGCGAGGTGGACTAGAGCGATTTTTCATTTTTCGCCGTACGTTGCCAAACAGTACGTTACCGACAAAAATACACGTCAGCTAAACTTAAATTCCGAATCTTTAACGGAAAGAAAACATGTACGATTTGGCTCAACGTTTTCTTTCCCCGTCGTTTTAAATGATATTACATGATATATTACATGATATTTATGTTTAATTTACACAAATATCGTATTTTTAATACGCGCGCAATTGAGAACTGAAGCCGCTAACCTTCATAAATCGAGTCTCTTGATTGAAAGAAGAGAGAGTGTGTGTGTGTGTGTGTGTGTGTGTGGACAACGCATCATCGTCACATTACAAGAACAGTACACAACACATATCATAGTTTCTCTATTCTGACAACATTATTATTACTTAGATATCTTACAGCTGTAAAGAAAGAGATGTGAGATAAAATTTTACTTCTCAGCACATACAATAATCAAATCTTTTAATCAAGTTTTTCCTCGCGTGAATAATAAAATGACAAGACTGACAGTTCGCTCCATTCGCGGCGTGGCGCGGAAATTCTTTACACCCATCTGAAATCGCTTCGCAAACTTGACGAACGAAAAAAATTGCAGGAGGCACCTGAGACCTTCGCTTTGTATAACTCCTACCGCACCCAAGTAATAATGCGATCGTTTCATTTCGATCGCGGCACGGTCGCTAGGACATTTTTCACACCGCCGCGCCGTCCTAGTCCGCGTCACAGGACTTTGGGCCAATTCAACCATCGTATTTTATGGACCAACATCGAACATATGGTTCGGTTTTTTTTTTCTTTTTTTTTTCTTTTCGTCGACCCTTAATATTTCTTACGATAGTGCTCCTCCGTTGGCCGTAGGTCGCTCACTATGTTGTCTCGCTAACGCGCGATAAACGCCGGACGGAGATATATACGATGTGCCCGGGTAGTGTTCCTCTCGGCTTACATCCGGCACTGCGCGGTGCGGGATTATTATTTGTCGCGGTAACGAGAACGAACGGCGGGACGTTTTATTGTCAATATTCCTCGCAATCGTGAGAAACCGATTTCAGCATCGTCGCGCTCTGCGACCCTGCCCCGAGAACTCGAGATTAAAGGAATTTAATACGCCGGAGATCTCGATTAATTCAAAATCGTTGGTTCGTTAAAGCGGCAACTCTTTCCTGTTGTGCGACCGAGAAATATACAATACTTCGCGCGAGGAAATAACCCCTCGCTTTGTACGAATTTCCGCGATCTTTACGAATGGACTATCGATTCGCGCTCGCCGTAGGTGCTATCTGCCCCTTGTGTTTTTCCACTCCTTCTTCTCTCCTTCGTTTACACCCTGGTGAGCTAGTCGCCGCGTTCCCTCCTCGATTGGCTGCATCAAACGTCCATCATTTTTCATCGCGTGATTGTAACAAAGCGAATCGTCAAGTCGCACACTTTACGTGAAATCGTCCACCGTAACATTGCCCAACACGGGGCGTATTTCAGCGCAAATCTTATACCACCGTTTTATTCTGTATGTCCTCCCCCACCCTCTCTCTCTCTCTCTCTCTCTGTATTTAATGACTCGTTTCCTTAAGTCTTGACCCGTTACGCGCGTACGAGAACGTGCCGTCATTATCATGATAATATGAGGGAAGTTTACCGAGGAAGTTCATCGTTTTAATATACGAGTATACCGCCACTACATGTTGCACGCTGTATAATCTACGACGGTGATACATGATTAGCAACTATAAGCGTATTCTGACATTCTGGACAAATTGGAAACTATTGTTTGAAATATTCATCTCAACCTTCTATTTACGCCGTAGGATCATCCATTGGACATAAATTTTCCGGGCTTTCACATTTCTATAAATAATCGAAGTTTTTTCTTTCCAAATTTTTCATTTCATCACAGGAACAAAGTTGACGCGTGCATTTATCTTTTACGCAAAATACTTTTCTCTGCAGAGCCATTAACAGAGCTGCATCTCGGAATGTTTTTGAATAATAATACGCCTGGAGAAGTCAGACATGTTTCACCCGTGGAAATTATTACCCGGACAAATGCTAATAAGGTGCACGCACCTTTGATATTTTAAACCGATTTAGAAACTTCCTCGTATCACAGTCAACCGAAAATGGCCAAATAGTGGCTGCTTCAGGGGCATCTTGTACTTGGAAAACGAGCGCGTTTACTCTCGTTAAGGTGAGTGCCGAGGGCTGATTTACTCTCTTTACCCTCGCGTGACACCACCAGCGCAGGCTTCGCAGTTCTCTCGGGGGAAGGTGGGGAACGAGCGAGGAGTAGAAACATTGGGCTCGGAAGAAGGACATAAAACGAATCGCTCGACTTACGAGATTCTTTCACCCTTCGAAGGACCGCGAGGAGAGATTGAAAAGTTCCTTCAAGTTAGCCCTGTCTTTTTCTTTCTTTTCTGCTCCGCTCTTACGTTGTGCTACTGACCTATCTTTGGTGTGTGTGTGTGTGTGTGCGTGCACGCGCGCGCGCGCGCGCGCGCGTGTCCTCATTGAAATTCTTCTCGATGATCAAATTCATTATCGCGCTATCACTATGAAGCCTATTCTCGTCGCAATCTTAAACTTGCATATACTTTATATGTCGTTTAACTGTCTCGTATGTTTTATCTTACGGCAACTTTATATATACGAGCGAGATAAATCTCTCATTGCTCTCCTCCGAGGGAATTTCGACGTTGGACGGTAAATTGTTACTGTTAAATTTGCAACTGCAGTTGTACCGATCGCTCACGTTCCAAGTGTGTTAAGTAAACAGCGATACTTAACTAGAGACGAAAGTTTAAGCAACAAGGGCTGCGCAACAACGGTGTGAAATAATGTGTGCTATTTGCATTTCACGGTCATTAATATCTGCGCACGTAGTATCATTTTATCGCTACGAATATTTGAATTTTCAGAGCTTTACTCTTTTTTCTCTTCATTAAGCATGTAGACCGAATTTTGAAATATTCATGCATTCAGTACGAAGGCTACCAACGATTATCAGCACAGGCAAACTCTGATCGAAATTTCATTGTTATATATATAATTGGTAGCCATACGCCGGTTCAATGCTATCATTTATCATTCGCTTGCAGGCGGATAAATTTTGTGTGGAATTTTCGTCGGAAATATTTGTTTGTTTGTTGAGCGATTACGCAGCCATTTGCATAAACGAATAATGACAAAGTTGACAACGCAGCGGCAAAAAGCGTTCTTGATGAACGGAAACGTCAACGAGTATTCCGAAATAATTAAACTTGGCAAGAAGGTAATCGTTAATAATGTAGAAGCGAGAGTGGTGAGAAAGACGTTGATTAAAAGTCAACGCTGGGCAGAGTACGACGAGGGTAAATAATTCCCGAAATTTCGGGATGTCGTCGAGAAGAGAAAAAACCCCCATCCAAGTTTCCAGGTCGT